CACTCTTCTGCAATCTTAAATCATTTGTGCAAGACAAGAATGAATAGTTTTTTGAAAGACTCTTGCATGTTTATTTTTCCAAAGTTGCCCAAATGCAAGTTGCTTTTCAGAGTTACTTAAAATTTGTGAATTATTGTTCTGTATTCCTGGACACAACAGCAATGTGGAAAGAGTGTTCTCCTTGATTAATGCTCAATGGACAAAGGAAAGGAACAGACTCTGTAAGAGGAATCATTTTCACAAAGTACAATTTGAAGAATATTACTTGTGAACAGTTTTATGAATATGTGATTGCTAATGAAGATCTGCGAAAAGTTGGCTCCTCTGAGAAATATGTTGTGTAATTAATAAAAATTAAAAGGTAATAATTGTACAATTAGCTGTTTAAATAATGTTCTTTGGTATTTTGAAAAAAAGCCTCCATTGAATTTATTTTTATTTTTTAACATGACTGTTTCTTGGTCAGTTCATTAAGAGACGTTTATTGGCAGCAATTGTAATAAAATTGTATTGATCGTTGGTTTAATCTGGAACGATTCAAATGAAACATTCAATATGTCCTCCTTTGTCATACTTTTTGTCTTTCAATGTCTTCCTTTTGGTACCAATGTATCTGGCAACCCTACTCAAACATGACCTTTCTCAGGAACTAGTACTTTGGTATGTATCCCAGGCTTTACAGGATACCCCAATCCCTAAAAAGGTGAGGTCAATTGGACACAAGAGAAGCCTTTCTGTGTAGCACTGCCACAGTTGTGGAAATTACTTCTCAGGGAGGCTAGTGTTGGCTATACTGTTCTCCTAAGCCTTTTCGTGTTCTATTTCTCTTTGATTACAGAAGTTACCCTTACTAAAACTGAATCTATAAATTAGTACATCATGTTACGTGCCAATTATGGAATGCTAGATCACTCTGTATGCCAAGATCAAGGTGAAGGCAATTTTGTTTCACATTGGGCAAAATCTTGTTAGCATTATTTTGCACAGATCTGCCATTGCAAATACTTAATTTATACTAAATACAGGCTTCCCACACCACCCCTTTTAGGTTCCAAGACCCCTTAGGACTCACTCCCTTTTGCCCTAGGCAAGCCTTTGGGAGCCTTGGGATGGAGGCAGGGAATGTTTAGTAGTAACATATCACCTCTGATCCCATCAGTGATGATCCAGTAGTGATTTTGTTGTTGTTGTTGTATTTGCTGCTGCTGCTGCTCCTGTTGATGTTTTTGTTGTTTACTATTAAAGTCTCCCCTTCCTCCTGTGCTCCCAAAAGGGGGTCCTAGGGAATCTTGGAACCAAAAACAAGGGTAGGACTTTTTAATTAGTTTAAATTAAATATTTCTGGCACCTGAACTGATTAACACCAACAATGTTTAGGGATTGTCGTATTTTACTGGAAGGAAGAATGTAAGAAGGTTATTTTAATAGTAAAAAAGAAAAGGAAAAACCTAGATGGGTAGCTGATGAAACTCTTAAACTTGTTAATGACAAATGAGAAGCAAAACTAAAAGATGAAGAAATCAAATTCTGGTGCAACTCTTAAGCAATTTTCATACAGGCACAAAGAGAATTATTAGAATAACGGTTGCAAAAACCTAAAAAACAGCAACAAACAAAAAAAAATCTATCCTTTCCACAATATCTAATAAATCAAAGAGAAATTTAAATTAAGATGTGGGATGCTGAAAGATCAACAGATGAATACATCATCTAAACATGATTTTAAAAAGAAGAAGATGAAAACAATGTACTGAGGAACTATACAGTACAGTAGAGATGTAAGGATGGCACTTTCCTTTGAAAAAGAAACAACTATAGGACCTTCTGGAGATCATTCATTCATAGGATTGTTTTAAGTCATAAGTTATCTGATGGTACATTGAAATAACAATTGCTTTTATGTTCAGGCAAAAATGAAAACAAAGCACTAGAATAAAAACAAAAATATTGTCACACCTTACAAGCTAACTGATATATTTCATTGCGAGCTTCATGGACACATCCACTCCTTCACACAAGAATGGAATATGCTGATATAGAATATGGCTGAATACATCTGAAAAAGTGGATGTATCCATGAAAGCTAACACTGAAATATATCAATTAAAGTGCCACAATGTTTTGGTTTGAAATATTTTTGTTTTGTATTTTTTGCCTGAATATGCTTGCACAGATTAACACAGTTACTTATTTGAAAACTACATACAATTTTAATGTAAATCACCTTATATCCTCATTTGAGTAGTAGGGGTACTTCAGATTTAATTCAAAATAATAAATAACTGAGTTCTTGGCTGAAATTAGCTTTAAGGAAAGGATGCTGAATTCACCCCTCAAACTCTTGGCCACCATACACAGTTATCTTATTACATACAAGGCTCAATGACTACAATGCACTGTGGTGCAACTACACAACAGGAAAAATGTAAAGTGATCCACTTTGAAGTCACACCTAGAAAGCAGGGTTTCACTGGGTGAAATCACTTTAGCAGATCGCACTGGAATCAGCAGAGAGAATCAAAGGCATTTCCAGTCTGCACTTGTTTTCACCTTGTTAAGGTGGTTCTACTGCAGCTGTCCAGATCTGCAGGAGACAGGGTAATAGTAGTGTTACCATAACAGCTCCAAACAAGGGCTGGCTGCTGATTTCTCCTTCTGTGCTGATTCCCCGCAACCCCCAAACTTACTTTTTTGGAGAAGGCTCCTAGCTGCTTTAACATACCAGTGCTGGCTCCAAGCGCTTGAAAATATATACAAGAACGTACAGCATATAAATGCTTTGGAGACAAAGAGGTGCTCAGTCAAGGGTATCTGACACCCCCACAAGTGCTCCTTTGCTTCCTCTCTCCCCACCTTAAATGAGGAAGCTGGGGGAACTAATTGCATCAGCTCAAGCAACCACATCATCTGAATGGATGTGAATGCATTTAATTCAAGAAAAAGTAGAATCTCCAGCTATAGAAGGGAAAAGAACAGATTAGAAGGGGAAAGTCTGGGTTGCTCCCAACTCTGCATTGACTTTTACATCATGTAGTCAACAATTCTGGAGCATTTTCCTCATTATTTGTCAATTTAGTTAACCCCTTTGACTCCTGGAAATCATCCTGATTTTTTCGCTTCAACAAAGATTATGAATAAATATATGTGAGGAGTACATTGACTTTGAATGAATGGCCAGAAGCTTGGAGTAAAAGAAGCTGTATGAACCTTAATCACTGCAGTTGTTTCTCCTGGATAGCCTGGGATACAAACCTCAAAGGTAGAAGGAAGGCCAAAGAGGAAGAAAAATGGAGGTTTCGCAGCATCAGTTCAAAAAAAAAGAAAGAAGCCTTGTACAGTCATTCAAAACATGTTAATTTGTTAAATTACTATAAACATGTAACTTTACAATATAATAAAGCATGTACTGGAAACTATGCCTTTTATTTTCATGCATTTATTTTACATCTAAGCTGGCAGTTGTGCACAACTACCACGCAGTGTTCAGTTCAGCATAAATGTGCACATGATGTGGCATGAAGCCAGCTACCTCCCCCAGTTTAAGCAATGCAATGCTTAATGTGGTTTCAATGTATTCGCGAAGGCTTTCACGGCCGGGATCTAATGATTGTTGTGGGTTTTTCGGGCTCTTTAAATTTCTCACAGGGAGGGTGGGTTTTTCGGGCTCTTTGGCCGTGTTCTGAAGGTATACTGAGGATTAATGGGAAACAGGGACCTAAGATGGCTAGAGGTGAAGCACCTCATGGTGCAGGGACCTTACAGAATGTTAATGCAGAATTTAGCAGATGTTTCCTACTGTGGAAAAACCTATCTGCTGCCAATGCTTTGCATGTATATTTGCAAATACAGCAAGTACTACACGGGCTCTTTGGCCGTGTTCTGAAGGTATACTGAGGATTAATGGGAAACAGGGACCTAAGATGGCTAGAGGTGAAGCACCTCATGGTGCAGGGACCTTACAGAATGTTAATGCAGAATTTAGCAGATGTTTCCTACTGTGGAAAAACCTATCTGCTGCCAATGCTTTGCATGTATATTTGCAAATACAGCAAGTACTACAAAGAAATCTGGGGAGAAAAGGAAACTTTGTAGGGCTGCTTTAAATTTCTCACAGGGAGATGGGGAACACAATACTGTATTGGGCTATTTCATTATTGGCAATTAATGCTATTCATTAGATCAATGGAGTTTATTCAATTAATTGATATTAGGACTATAAATAGAAGTGGAATATCATCTAAGTGAAATCTACCATAGTATCACATCACTTTATATCCCAAGAACTAGATGCAGACAGCAGAGACTAGAAACAATTACCTGTCCATAAGGATACAACACAGATAAACTGTAATGACAGATAAGCACTTTCAGTGTTTTCTTACCAAGAGGTGGTCCGTGTGTTATAAGAATATCGATTCCATCTGGAATCAGGTTCCATTTCTCTAAGAGAGCTTGACCTCGTGGAAGATTAAAGCCCCAGCCATAAAACCAAGGTTGCCTGCAAAAAAAAAGGAGGGGGATAATATCTTTAGGGCTTTGGTTAGTCCTTCCTTTTAAAACCAACCCCTTTTTTCCATGCAAGTAGATAATACCATGACACACATGTACTCTTTTTGGCACAATGGCACAGTGAATTAAACCTTTGATGAAATGGTATTTTAGGGCACCCTTTTAGATTGCCATGTACATTAAATCAGCAGTGAAGGACACTATTACTACTTTGCTTCTCCTTACCTTACCACCATTCCATATTTTACAACTGCTTCTGCATTTCTGAAGAAAAAGAAAGAAACTACATACAGTTTTCAAACCTAACAAAACAAGATAATACTCTGTACATGTGAACTGGGAATTCAACCCAGACATTGATACTAGACTTGTTTGGTGGTGTTCCCATCACGTGCCATAATGTGGGGGATCAATGGTGGGAATGTGAAGCCTTGGAGTTTTCGCTGTGCCCCTCCTCAATACTGAAGAGGACCATACTTTCATATAGTCTTCATAGCTGAGATATATAACACAATCTTCAGGATTTTCACAACTCAGGACTATAAAACAAATTCCTACACCTTTAGTAGGCTCTGCCTTGTACAGATAATCTCCAAAGGCTATAAATCAAATCAAAGGCCATCCCAGGCTAGATAGGGGATAAAGCTGACAAAGACAGACTAAAGTTATTGGGAAAACACTGGAATGTGATAATGATGAGTCAGGTTACGTGTCTGGCAAAGCTGTCCATTAGCATCTTAAATTTAAGCCATCAAGAACGAAAGCACATCCTATGTACTTTACCAAATTGGTTTTTCATGTGTGTGTATATATGTGTTCAGAGATATTTCTGAAGAGAGAAGTGACGGAATGTGAGTTCACAAATTACTATTTCAAGAACCACAATAAATAAAGTGATCCTCTTCTTCATGGTCTCCATGATCACAGTCTCTCTGACTCACACATATGGGAGATTTGTTGTTGTTCTGTGTTGTCAGGTCAGAACTGACTTAGAGTGGCCCTAATAGGGCTTTCAAGGTAAGTGAGGTATTTAAGGAGTGCTTTTATTAGTTCTATTTGCCCAGTGAGCTTCCATGGCTGAGCATGAATTTGAATCCTCCCAAGTCCTAATCCATCACTCTATCCACTACAACACACTGGCTATTCCATAAATCCAGCCTAATTTGCCAGGGCTAGGAGATATGTCATTGTGAAATCAAAGAATCACTCTTCCAAACAAAGGACCATCTTGAACTATGTTCACCCATTTGATCAAGTAACTGCATGGCATATGTTCAACACAGAAACATCTCTGAAAAATGCTGAAAATAAGGCAATAAATCTACTAGAATTTTTTTTTTACTTGCACAAGGAAAGGTGGTTTTGCCACCTTTGACAACAAAAACAACCTATTTTGCAAAATGTTGACTAGAGGCCAGCAAAACTTTCCAATGTCCATTATAATAAACAAAGGGATTTTTTTTTTTGGACCAGAATAATCTCATCAATAGACAAAACTAGCAAACTTCTGGCATCTAAAGAATGGAGCCCATTTTCTGCAGCTGTTGTGTAACATGAAAATCAAAAAAGAACCTTAGGAACGAAGACAAATCAGTTGAAGAACCACTTTATCCTAATGGAAAACTAAAATAGGGAAGTCATGCTGTCATGCCCAAAGTTCCAAGCAGAGGTTACTTTTAATGCTAGGAGACAGACGTCAGTGGTAAAGTACTTTGTTGAAACCACAGATAAACTCAGTGTAAGGGAGTTTCATGTCAGCCAAGATCTCTGGTCCCAATAGGCCAATAAAGCTTCCAAATACACCTTTAGCAGACCCTTTTACTGCAGGTTCAAGAGGAATTCCATAACTAGAAATATTAATATTTCACAGCTTCTCTTTTGAATGGAGGTACAGTAGTGCTCTGCTTTACGATTACCTCATTAAATGACAAAATCGCTTCACGATGATGTTTTTGTGATCGCTATTGCAATCGCAAAACAATGTTTCAAAGAGCAATTTTTATTTGACGATGATCATTCCCTGCTTCAGGAACTGATTCTTCACATTACGACGATCTAAAAGCAGCTGATTGTTGGGTTTCAAAATGGCTGCCCACTGTGCAAAATGGCTCCCTGCTGTTTTTAGCACTGATGTTTCACTTAACAGGGATCAGAAAATGGCCACCCTATGGAGGATCTTCACTGGACGCTGAGGTATTTCGCCCAATGGAATGCATTGCACCAGTTTTCAATGCGTTTCAATCGTTTTTTTTTTCTTCACTTGACAACGATTTCGCTTTACAGCAATTTCGCTGGAATGGATTATCCTCGTCAAGTATTTTTGAAACCCCATCCATTTTATAGCATATGAATGATCAATCTTCTGCTGTTATTATGTGCTGTCATGTCAGAACTAACTTATAGCAACCCTAATACAGTTTTCTAAGGTAAGTGCAGTATTTAAGGAGTGGTTTTACTAATTGCACCCCCAGTGACTTTCCATGCTGTTACCCTCAGAGTTTATATCTAAAGATATCAAAAGTGCTCCTAGGGGAGTGTTACAGAGTCCCAACAAGCAAGCAGAATTGTCATAAATCATGATGGGGAGGCATCCATGAAGTTGCCAAGATTCAATCTGCATGACCCTTGTGTTCATGCAAGAAGTCCCTGATTACTTCCTCCAGAACATTAGAAGTTGCACTGAGAATTGTGTTGCGAAGAAGTCTACATGTGAGTTGCTCCCAATGTGAAATATGTCTCAGACAACTTTGAGAAGTCATTACAGTTTGGCTAAGTGCATCTGCTTTCATATTACCTACTTCTGCCAGGTAATGGACAAAAAACCCTGGCATTGTAGGAAATAATTCTGGAATGATTGACCTCCTTTTTGTTTCTGCATTATATGATTATTATGGGAAAAATGGGCATCTTATCTGCTACACTTTCTTCATCCTCTGATATTTTCCAGATTGCCTACATTGTTTTCAGAAACATCAGGGAGAATACTAACCATTGGGCCTTCTGCAACTGCATATGGTCTTCCTCATCTTCTGAAGATGAATTCAGCAAGGTATGAAAATACCATTAATCTGCAAAGCATCAGTACTGATTGTGCATGTGTCCTGAATATTCTGCACAGTCTGTATGCCAGAGTAATTAGCATCTCTGTGCTGTCTTGGGATAAAAAGGTGTAGTTCACTGTGAAGTTGAGACTTGTCTCTGTGAATTGTATACCCCGGTGTGAATCAGCCCTGACTTATTTGGGTTGACGTATGAACGTAACATAATTTTATTAAAATAGTTAAAAGGGTCAGGGAGGCCTTGTAAAAACTCGTGATCACTTGTAGCCAAGGTAAGCTGCATGTGCACATGCACTACTCCGGTTCCCTCCTTGCAGCTCTCTTCCTTCTCCATGCAGTGATCATGTTAGGTTCCGGTCACGACAGAACCCAGTTGGCAAAGTCCAGGGGCAAAGCCATGAGAGAGGAGGAGCCCCACCCAGCAGGGCTGAAAATTAGAGGGTACATTGCTTGTAGCTATCACACACATTGGCATACATATTGGTGCAGTTGGCAAACTGAAGGGCAGAATGTTGAATTGAAAGGGAAGATTCCTTAGTGTGAAATGAATGTTTTCAGTGCCAGGGCATTTTTGCAATACAGAAATGCATATTGGTTTTGCAACCAATAGCTTGAACAAACTCCTCTTCAGAAGAGGAGAAAAAAGTTGGCATAGTAACCATATAGAATTTTGTTACTGTATGATTACTACTGTTCATGTTTCTGAGGTCTAATATAGGACAGAGCAACCCATCTTTTTCAGAATTGTGAAATGGCAAGGAAGATCAAGAATACCATTACATCTAGTGCAGAAGTGGTACACTCTCCGTTCAAATTTTGCAGGAGGTTTGGTAGTTCTGATAGAAGATGATGATGGAATTTTATCATACCACCTCTGAATAATGAAAAGAACCAATTTATCAATAGTCATGGACCATGGGTTATGCAAAAACAGAGAGAGAGAGATTCATGAAAAGGTACAACTGCTTGTGAGGAACATCGCAGGCCCTGAGTAACACATAACACTTACTTTCTTTCCCTGAAAATAAGACCTAACCTGAAAATAAGCCCTAGTATGATTTTTCAGGATGCTCGTAATATAAGTCCTACCCCCAAAATAAGCCCCAGTTAAGTAAACCCCCACCCTCCACCATTGTGCAGCAACCAAAAGAAGATGACATGACTGTAAAATAAACCATGCCCTGAAAATAAGCCCTAATGTGTTTTTTGGTGCAAAAAAATAATATAAGACCCTGTCCTATTTTCGGGGAAACACAGTAGGAGTATCATGGTCTCTTTTTATAAATTGGAAGATATTTCTTATGTTCAGACAAATCATGACAATGTTTGCAAGCCTAGTCATTTTGTACTAGAAGGACCTGAAATATTATCTCAGTTGCCAGTTCTAACTCCAGTATGGCTTAGTGTGGTTCTAGGATGGGAACTAAGAAATAACATCATACTTTGTAATAGCTGTTTTAGGTTTTTTGGTCATACTCTCTCTCTTTTATATCATTTTCCCACCGAACAGGCCATACCCATCAAAATGCAAGTCCTTTCGAGTAATCTTGGTATCACTTTGTAACACAGCATAGTGAAGATATTTGTGATATTGTAGACTAAATGTATCCACGGGGTGGTCACCTGACAGACTACTTTTGAGTTTTGTTTATCTGCTAACATGCTCCCGACCCCCCCCCCAAATATACTTCCAGGTAAAACAAGGAATTCAATAGTCTTTGCCCTTCCAGTAAGCTATCAAATAATAAGGCCATATTACCCCAGAAAAACTGTTGGTAGGTTCCCTTATCAATTTGATACTCTGATCTTCTTAAAGATGAGTATGTGGTGAAATAACAGCTCCTGCCTAACCAGTCTAATGTTCTTCCTTGTAGATAAGGGAAAATCAAAGATTGCTTTTGTATAGCATTCCCTTGGTTAGCTACAGTAA